TACCGGACCAAATTCCTACATCTTCATTTTTCGTACAAATATTTGTTGGTTCTCCTATTGAATTTTCTACCACTTGATCTTAGGCTCCACTTGTGGTCTTCGAGTCCTTACCTATCTACGACCCTCGAAAATCAACAAGTCTGTTGAGTTACTATACTCTCAGTAGGGACCATCTTACAATCAACGTAACTCTTCCTCCAAGCATTCCTTATAAAAAAGAAATCACTTTGACTATTTTTCCACTACTCCTATAAGTCAACAGGTGAGGGATTGACAAGGGTTGGAACTAGGTCGTTATTTAATTCTCCCTAAGTCAAACTATATTTGTAAACACTTAACAAACCTTGTACGAGTATAGGGCAAGCTAAGGATCAAACCCAAAGGAATGAATCAAAACCATGTTATAGTATAACGTTAAGCTATTTCGAAGAATTGTCAAAGGTTGAGTATGGTAATTAGGATAACAAGAATCAAGAATTCAATCAAATTGCTAAACACTAGGGATATAGGTTCCACATGCAAGCTTAACAATCATGCTAGTTGATAGATCACCCGATTGACTCAAACGTTGCAAAGGACAAACATAAATCGCAATCAAAGGAATTCAAGGGTTATCTCCTATAAACCAAACTAGGGTTCACTATGAATGATTAACAAGGAGAATCACAATCAAATTCAATCAATTAAAGCAATTCCCAAATCAATTGTTCGTGTCATTGGGATTTGCAATGCAATCTAGATTAATCTTATAGGTTGATCACTCCTAGTCTAGTTAATCACATGCACAACTATGTCAACCAATTTAATTGCAACAATCAATCAATCAAGGATCATCAACTAACAATAATCATCAATCTAGCATGCTTCCCCTTCTCCCTAGCAACTAATCTACTCACTAATCATAGTGACATCTAAAACTAGAACAAATTGAATCTCAAACATATTCATCTCAAGCTAAATAAAAAAGAAATACAATCAATCAACAAATTCTCAAAACTAAATCAAATTCCAAACCAAACATTCAAGCATAAGAGTAAATTGCAATTAAAGTAAATTCAAGGGAAAGAAATCTTACTAACTTTGATTGAATATTGAAGAAGAATCACAAACTTGATTGAAGAAACAAATGTTGAGTTACAATTCAAATCCAAAGATTACAAACTCTACTTTCTCTCTAACTTCTCTCTGGTTTCTTTCTCTAAAAACTAAGCAAATGAAATATTATCTGAAAGTTAGCCTTCAAAAGGATTTACAAGAGTATATATAGGCAAAGAACAAAAGCTGATCGCCTGCGCCCTCTCCTTGAAGACCCCGCGGCCGCGGAGAAATGGGTACGGAACCCATAACTACCTTCACAGGCAATCTGGGCAAAACCCGCGCCCGCGGGTACTGTAGCTCGTGTCCGCGGCATAGCCACACGCGCTCGCGGCACAGGGCGCGACAAAATGCCCTGTTCCTAAACAAGCAGGGGGCTGCGGTCTTTCTGATCCGGAGCGCCCTCTCCAACATCTCCGTACCCGCGGGTAGATCGCAAGTAGGGCGCTGAGTGTTCCCGCCAAAAATCCCCAAAAAGTGCACCAAAACCTGCGCTCGCGACCCTTGGGTCCCGCGCCTGCGGCTCCGAGAAAAAGAGGAAAACCCTCTCTGAGCCCTCCCCAAGCCCTCTCCATGAGATTTGATGCTCCTTTGCTTAACTCTTTTTGCTCCCCTTGAATCCTTTGCAAAGCTAAGTCTTTAGGCACCTACAAGAGAAACCAAGGAGAGAAAATAGAAGAGAAAAAGAGCAATATAAAAGGAAAACACGAAGAAATGCACATTAAGGAAAGTAAAACACAAGAGAAGAAGAAATAGAGAAACTAGAGGAGAAATGATCAAAAGGGTAAAAGAAAAGCATGAAAAGCATAATGAAAATATCCTAAAACACTACCCTATGATCAGAGATTCCTTTTTTCAAACCAAGTGTTCATGATACTTAAGTCATATGCCAATGCAAATTCTAAAATATCGTTTCCCACGTCATTTCTATCTTCATACCTAAAACCTCCATAAATACTTTCAAAGCCATCCCTTTTAATGCCCACATGTCCATTGAGATCGCCCCCAATGACCAACTTTCACCCTTGGGATCCTGTTGCACCACTTCTTTGAAGGCGTCTCAAATTTCTTGTCTAATAGAGGCATTCAATCCTATTTGTGGTGTATAAGCACTTATAATAGTTACAATTTCATCACCTATCGCAAGATTAACACTCATAATTTGATCACTCCTTATATAGACACCTCAACCACATCATTAACATCAACAAAACTCTGGTCAATGAGGATACCTACTCCATTCCTACCCTTATCTTTACCCGCATACCAAAGCTTATAATCTCATGGAGCTATTTCCTTTGCCTTGTGTCCAACCCACTTAGTGTCTTGTAGGCACATTATGTCATTTCTCTTCCTCTTCATAGCCTCTACTAATTCAACTAATCTCGCAGTCAAAGAGCCAACGTTCCAAGTCCCAAAATGCATCCTACTACCCTTACTATTTCCATATACTAGCTTGCTTCTTTACTTGCATTTGTTCGTCATGCGGGAACCCTTGAATACTTTGACCATCCGCGGGTGCTGGGATGGCATGTCACTTTAGGTGACAACCTAGCAACCCTTGCATATTTTCACTACACCCAGGCCTATGAAATGCAGCGCGTCCCTGAGTAGGGAACGCCCACACGATATCCAAATTTCGATTCGTGCCCATAAGATGAGACTATGTTTTATGATAGCCGTCACATACCAACCACAACTCTTTTCCTTTATCCAGGCTTGAGACCGACACTAAATTGTGGCATTCACCGACAAAGTTACCGTATGGGCTTAAACAAATAAGCTTAAATTCGTAAACCTTAAAAGAAAATAAAATTTAAAACAAATAGACATAAACTCAAAAAAAAAATAAAGAACATGTAATTTAAACGCAAAGAAAATGTAGCTTAAACACAAAGCACATGTTCATTTTTAACTCATAAATTAAAAGAGCATGTCGTGTAGAAAAAAAGTAAAAATTAAAAGATATTACTTAGGGCCTGTTCTCTTCAGTTCAATTCAGTTCCAATCAGTTCAGTTCCTAATTTCCTTCTCTCATAAACAATTCAACTCACCTCAATTCAACTTAGCTCAGTTCAATCAGTTCAGAACAGTTTAAAACCAAAGATTATAAAGTTCAAATTTAAAGAACATATTATGTTATTATGACTTGGTGTATCATGAGCACTATGCACCAGTAAGGTGAGCATGGGACGAGTACCCGTACCGTTAATACTAACGATTCGGGTACCCGATAACCAAAATCACTAAAAGTGATACCCATAACCGGAACCGATAAGTTTGGGTACCCGGATTTCGGGTACCCGGATTTTCGGATCGGTTATTGGGTACCCAATAAGATATCCAATAATGATAATTAAACTTAATTATGTTGTTATTATGATATAATTTACAACTAATTAAAAACAATACCATATGATCTTGACCAAATTATTAATAATATTACTAATCATTGATATTATAAAGTGATTATGAAATAAAGTAAAAGTTTAGATTTATATTAATAGATTTAAGTAAGGAAAAAAAGCAAAAAAATTGCTTATCAGATCGGATCGGGTAACCGTTAATTTTAAAATGATTCCCATAACCATACCCGATAACAAATTATCGGAGCGGGTACTCGAACCGTTATGGTTATCGGATCGGGTACCCTAATTTTCGGAACGGTTACGGATCGGTTTTTCGGGTAGTTTTGCTCAGCCTAGGTTGCACCATATAATTTGCTCGCAAGGGTTATTGTCTATATAGCTAATAAAATTATGTTTTTCTTACAAAGAGTTTGCATAAGTAAATATCAATTTGCCTTATTTAAAAACTAGACTAGATTCCATACTTTTATTGTTAAGTTGCAAGTGTGAGTTGTTGTCCCACATGGAAAAATTAAACAAAGAGCAACTAGTTTAAAACCTAAGTGAGCTAGTCCTTCTATTGCCATATGGTTTTGGAATGGAACCTCACTTGGGCTTATGTGTGGGCTATTCTCTCCTCCTTGACTTAGAAGGTCGTAGGTTCGACCCGTACCTGACGCGCCAATTGTTAGAAATCGGGGGAAAGATCCTGCCTGATTGCTTCTATGCAAATGCTTTTTTTTTTTTTTCTGTGATGGTTTGCTAGATAATTTTATATTTAAACATTGTATTTAAGTTATGTTAATACTCGTGAGAATATTATTGCAATGTCATCTACTCACGATCATCTGCTAAACCAAGTATATCTCGGTTATCATGATAATTGATAATCAGTTAAAGGGAATTGAGAGCAATTATTTGGACAACGTCTTGATATATGTTTCCGTGGGTATTTATACCTTTCTAAGGGAGCAGTCCTTGGTTTCATAACCTATATAATGGTGTTCTCTATTTGGCAGCCCAATATGTGAGTGACACGCGTGCTGGTTATCTATCCTGTTGCTCTTTTATTGGCCTTCTAGACAGACTTAGGTTTCAATTCGACTTAGTTTTGATTCTTTTGAATCAAGAACAACAGCGAGTAGCACATCTATTGTGATAATATCATGGTGGAAGTAGTGAAATCAAAACAATATGAGTGCGCATATAGCAAACACTCGCCACTAGATCTTGAGTCAACTTAATTGTCATGGATTGAGATGTAGGAAATATGACTAATAGCAAATAATTTAAATTAAGCTTTGTTGCACACACGGACTCTTAGCAATCAACCTCCTGGGATACACGACTCTTATCTTCGGCTAGGTTAGGTCCCGTGCCATGCACGGTTTTTCACTCTCTGTCCTCTCTCCCTTGGAGGAAAAATCAAATTGATCATTTTTTGAAGCATACGATTTGGAGTTAGAAGTCTTAGAATTAACTCCTACATAAGATTATCTGTATAATTATTTTAATGGTAGTAGTGACATCTGATCTGCAGTTTCTTTTCAATGGCAGTGGTGACCAAGACATGATTGTACCATATGTGTCAACTTTGAAATGGATTGAGATGCTAAATGTCCCAATTACTGAAGCTTGGAGGCCATGGTTTTTCAATGGTCAAGTTGCTGGGTGAGGCGCTAAATCCCTAAATGAAATCAACCGCATACTAAACTAGTTTTTAGTTGTCAAATGGTCAAATATACGTTAAATCCTTCCTAACTTCTCAAATTTTGAGTTGAATGTGCAGGTATACTACAAAGTATTCAAATGACATTTATAATTTAACATATGCTACTGTAAAGGTAAAACATTTATTTTCAAGCATGTATATTATTTGGTTTGAAAGTGTAACATGGCCAAGCATGTATTGTTAACTTGCAGGGGGCAGGGCATACTTCTCCTGAGTATAATCGCCCAGAATGCTTTGTGATGGTCAAGAAATGGTTTGAAATGCATCCTCTATAGTACGAAAGGGTACCGGGACAACCGTGAGGCTTGTGCTATATGTCAATTGTATAGGAGGGGCAAGTAGTTTTCTCCAACATGTGAGGTTCACTTCTTAAAATAGTCTATTGTAAAAGTGTAAAACAAAGACTACTAGGACAGGATTGGTAACATGGTTGACCTTTTATTTAACATTCTTCTATAGTCTATGTGTATGATGCATGAGATCTTGAACACCGGAGACAGTGCTAAATGTTTGACATAGGTCATTATTCCTTGTATATATAAGAGCATTTACGTGTTAATAAGGTAGATGAGGGTGAGGGATCCTTTGTTTTTTTTTTTGGTAATTTGGATGTGAATCGCCGAGGCCTCAACAGATGTGAAAACAAGTTGAAGTAACATTTTAGTGTTTAAAAAATAAAATACCTGTTTATGCATAGATTTGAATAGCTGTAGATTGTCTAGTAGCAGTGTAGCACACAAGCATGAGAATGACCTCCAATCACACCTCATGCTTATTAAACAGACAAAAACTGATACGAAGCACATTTTTGTGTAATATACTTGGGAGGTTTTCAAGTTAGTGAATCTCTGAAATAAGCGAAGCATTGTGGAATCCTTCATATAGGCTGTGTAGTTAGTTCTGTTGCTCAAGAAAGGTTAAGAGACTTAGTTTGAGATCAGCAGATGAGATGACTCATTTTTGATTCGTGTATGCCACAGTTTTGATTCTGTGATTGTATGCAGGAAGAACTCATTTTCGTGTTTGTCTTAATTTTGCTGGGATTGCTAACAAGGGCATGGGTCACCCAAAAATGATAGAATTGCTCATTCCATATTTCAAATTTGAATTTTCTGAACCAAATATTATGTTTTAGAACCCTTCCTTGAATTTTGTAACTCAAATCTTAGTCAACAAAATGAGCAAAGCAAAGGTGATAGGAGAAGAAACTTTTATAATGTATAAATTAAAAAATAAAGCCGAATTCATCTTTGAACAGAAGTCATAGAAGGCCCCCTCCCAAAAGAGAGAGCAAAGGAAGAAATATAAGGATGACAGGAAAAGGAAGACCTTGAGAAAATTTTATCAAGCAGAAGAAATCAATAACAGAAAGGAGCGCGATATAGTGAGCTGACAAATCATACATGGTGCGGTGTTGGACCTCACTTGACAATGCCTAGAGGAACAGAGCAATATGTTCATACAGATAAAGGACTTAAATTGGTAAGCAATGTCTGCCTAAGTAGAGGAGATGAGTCATGTTCACTGGGTTCAAAGAGCGCCCTTCCTAAACAGACCTTATATTGCAGCTCAGTAGTAATGTCTTCGTAAATACTATGAGATTCTTGCACTTATGCAATGTCATTATCAACAATTTGTCACCTAAAAAATGAAATAGGTGTTGATGCATACGACAAGTGAAAACCGCAACAGATACTGGAAAGATCGGCTGAAGAGGGAATAAACTATACTATAAACGAATAAAAAAGGAAACTTAGTTTATCAAACTATAAGAAAGATTGCTGTAGATCTAGACTTGTGTAGGGGCTCCTGCACATTGGAATAATAAGTAATACATGCCATCTTTGCATTGCCGTTTGGGCAAACAACTTCTTCTGATATTTACACCATCATATTACCTACCAGAATTTCTGATAGTAGCATTCTTGGAGGACAGCAAAATATGTGTGACAAACTAACTATTCTTGTAGATATATTAGAATAAAATACTTAGTTTATTACCTGTTTATGTACTTCTATATAAGCTAACCACTTATAATTTTTGCTGAGCTTTGATGATGTTCCTTCAACCTTCTTTATACCTTATTAGGACCATTATAATACAGAGGTCCGACTAACCCGTTTAACTAACATTCTTGTAGCTTTTAAACTTCTCTTGAACATCAAAAATATAAGCAGATGTTCAGAGAAGATCCATCTTCATTTGATCATTCAAGAACAAGGGAATCGACGAGTGGGCAATTGCCGGATGATCAGCAGATGGGAGCTACTACTGAATCAATTAATGGAACTGATTATTGGAAGTTTACCAGCTTGTGCTTCTTACCAAGGGGATTAAATCTGAATCCAGCTCGCATTGTATGTCTACATTATGTAGTCTAATGGTCTTATTTCGTTCTACAATTTCAGACATAAAAATGTAGCATCTTCTGTATGCATTGATACATGATCTTTTTTTACATTTATGCTGCAGGCATTAGCAGAAGGTCTCGGTACGTTCATATTGATGTTCAGCATATGTGGGATAATGGGGAGTATGCAATTGTTAGGGAACCAAGTGGGTCTTTTGGAGTATGCAACTACAGCTGGTACAGCCATAGTTGTCATTATTTTCACTTTGGGGGAAACCTCAGGTGCTCATGTCAATCCTGCTGTCACAATTGCCTTTGCTGTTTTCGGTCATTTTCCATGGAAAAAGGTACGTGTGATTCATGTTTTTGTTTCCATTTCATTGTTATTCAGCAATGAAATCAGAAAGTATAACATTTGGTTGGTATATGCCACCATCCAGATACTCAAAATCTTAATATGATCTTGTGAGACAATGAATTTTACCATGTATTAATGCAAGAAATCACCTGCTCCTACAGTTTTAAGACTGATAAACCATTAAAATTTGGCCAGTGGTTAAACATTTAGCCTTAAGATTGAAGCATAGGCCTACATATATCAGCTACATGATTTCGAATATTAGTAGCTTAGTGTACTTATATAGTTATATTATTTACATATTTTGCCTTTCTTCAGTCTGAAATTTTTTAAAAATTGGGCTTGTTGAGACCTTATGTAATTGATTTCAACAGAATGCTAACTAACGTATACATTAGATGTAACAATCTAACAAACTGGTGCAAGGCTAAGTTTTTACTCTCGTTGATCTGACTTCTACCGTCTGAAGCTAATTTCTGATTTTGTCTTGTGCTTGGGCCTTAACCTATAATGCTCTTATGGCATTCAGTTGTCATTGTACAACAATTGATAACGCAAAGCTTGTAATGCATATAGGTACCTTTTTATGTGATTGCACAATTGTTGGGCTCCTTATTGGCAACGTATGTTGGGCAGCTTGTCTTCAAAGTTAATCCAGAAGTTATTATGACCGTACCTTTAAAAGATCACACGTTTGCAGCCTTCGTAGCTGAATTCATTGCCACCTTTATCGTTACATTTCTTGCTGCATCTCTAGCAAGAGATGCAAAATCTGTAAGTAAAGAGCAGAGCTGCCATTTCTGAAACTCTTAAACATACAATTTATGACTAATGAGCCAATGTGTCATTTCACAGGTTGGTAATCTAGCTGGTTTTGTGATGGGCATAGCCATTGCACTTGCAGTCTTAATTACTGGGTATGTGTCTCCTTGGTCTAACCCAAATTACACGCTTACTTATTCATCATCCTTGTGTCAAAAATTAATTGTCACGTGACATTTCATTGTTGACCCTGAGCAGGCCGCTTTCTGGAGGATCATTGAACCCAGCAAGATCAATAGGACCAGCAATTCTTGCTTGGAAACTTGATCAAATATGGATTTATTTCATCGCCCCGGTTGCTGGTGCAATTCTTGGAGTTTTAATGGTTCATGCTTTGTGTCTTCATCATCAGCTTCCTCAAAGTCATAATTTATCTGCTGCAAGGAGTGTTTTGCAATAGATTTTTAAGTTTACCTTTCTTTTTAGAGGAAATTATTACTTCTTTACATGTTCTTGATTAGTTGTGATTGAGAGACAATGCTGGAAAAGTTGTTGGGTTAGAGAAATGTTAGGGTGTTGCTAGTGAAATCAGTGGCAGGAGGAGACTAATTCACCTCCAAAGCTGACTTATTGCAGCTCAGGTATTGTATTAACTAGAGAGATAACATGAATGAGAAATTGAGAATGTAATTGTTATATTACAACCCACAATTAATGTATAATAAGTCTACCAACACCCTCCCTCAAGTTGGAGCATGAAAATCACAAATTTGCAACTTGTTGAGTTTGTACAAAAACAATGCCATTTACCTCAAGCCTTAATAAAAGATATCAGCAAGCTTTTTTTTTGGTTGATGCATGTTTAGTTCAAATGACACCTTCTTGGATCACATCTGCTTGGACTTAACTCAGGGTTTAAGCCCAATCATCGACACAATGACAAAAATACCCTTCTTAAGGATCAAGCTTATATATATATATATATATATATATATATATATATATATATATATATATATATATATATATATATATATATATATAGAGTGTGGATCACGTGAAAACAAGATTAAAACTGAAAACTGAAAACATGCAATCTCTACCGTAGATTATGATCTATTACTCACCCCTCATCTAACGGTTCAGATTTTTCCCCCAAATTAAAGCAAAATGATAGCAATTTCTCTCTCCTCCTTCATTTGCACGTAACTTTTTCCTCCTTTATTTTCTCTCTCCTACTTTCTCTCTGCTACTTTCTCTCTCCTACTTTTCCAATTCTTCTACCAATTTCATGCTACTAATTCAAATCTAGCTTCAATTACTTTGATTTTCAGCAATTTCTTAGCTCTACAATCTATTATCAAGTAAGTTATTTGTGTTAATTTCGTTATTTTGCTTGATTTGAGTACTTAATTTCGTAATTTTTGTTTCACTTTTTCAACCAAATTTAACTCGTTTTTGCTAGATTTTGATTCATTTCATTGATTTTGAGTTTTGTTTTTTTTGGATTGAAATTGCAGTAAATCGTTGATTAAGCAGACGAGAACTCGAATCAAAGTTGTCCGACGAATGAAATGCGACGGAGAAGTTTTTGAGGAAAGACATTGCTGATCTGCTTGCTAATGACCTCGAGAAGAACGCTTATGGAAGAGTGAGTGTGTTTTTCCGTTATTTTTTTAGCTTAACGATTTGAATTTTGATAATTGATGAATTTTTTTAATGTTTATTTGAATTTTTCCATTGTACATATGATGAAAAATGTTGGTGCATCAGAATATTGTATTGTCTTTGTTTATATTTTAATTTTGTCGATTAATTTTGACCGAAAAGCATGTTTGCTTGAATTTTGCGAGAGTTGAATTATTCATTTCTATTGAATTTGTAATTTGACTGTCAACATTTGAGGTGTTACTTAGGTCTAAAATTAATCTTCTAATGAGTAAATTAGGTTTGAGTAAATTAGAAAATCATAGGAGTACATGTTTTTATTTTCTTAGTCATAGGAGTATATGTTTAGAACTAATGGCAGAAGCTCCATTAGAAGCCTTGCCAATTTGCTAGAAGCGAGTTGAATACCCCTTAAGCTTC